ACCATATGATATAATTCTACATTTAATTTCAATAGATAGTGGTTTTAACACCAGTTTCACCGTAAACCATAACAATTTGGTGTACTTGACTTTAAACCTAGAATATATTTTAAAAATTTAAGCTGTACTCTTTCAATACAATCAATATTACCAAAAACCCATAATCTCACATCCGTACAGTAGGACAGGTTTTACAATTTTGTTAAATAAATCTATTTGCATGTCAATTGGCAATTCTAACATTTTACATTTTTTTATAAGACTATACATAGCTTTGGACCCCTGTTTCACGATAGATTAATTTTGCTTTGAAAAGGAACCACTTCTACTGAAAAGAATACCAAGATACTTATACTCGTCTTACAACTTCTAAAAGTTCATTTCCGTAAGTAAAATTATATGACATGCGTCCCACTTGTAAAAACCAAAATTTTAGTTTTTTTTGTATTGAGCGTAAGTTTCCAGGTATCACAATAGTTTTTATAAATATTTAAACATGTTGTAAGTCATCTTTTGTTTCAGCAAAAATTACAGTGTCATCTGCGTACAACAAAAAGAACAGTTTTACATAGTTAAAAGCACTATCCTCTAAATCGTGACTGTTACATGTTACACCGGAAACATTATTGTTACTAAAATATTCATATAAATCATTTAAATACAATGAAAACATAATCGGTGAAAGATTTTCACCTTGACGTACTCAATATTACATATGAAATAATCAGACATATTACCATTAACACGTACACATGACTTTGCATTTTCATATATGTTTTTAATTGTGTTTATAAATTTTCCATTGATATTATATGACAATAATTTTGACCATAAACCTGGTCTCCAAACTTTGTCGAAGGCACATTTTAAATCGATGAAAGCACAAAACAATTTCTTTTTACTATTTCTGAGCAAATCGACAAGAGTATTTAATACAAACATGTTATCAATAGTTGAATAACCTTTTCTAAAACCAGCCTGATATTCATTTATAATATCATGATTAGATGTAAATTTTTGCAGTCGGATATTTAAAAACAGCAGTATACAATTTCCTAAGCAGCTAAGAAGTGTAATTGGTCTATAATCGATGGATCAGTCGCATCCCCTTTATTTTTGTAAATAGGATTTATAACACCAATTGTCCAAACATTTTGGAATACAACTTTTGCTAAAATAATATTAAAAAGTTTAACATATATGGTCTTGAAGATATGGAATGACTCTTTTTATATGTTCGTTTACTATACGATCAACACCGCAAGCTTTATTGTTCTTAAGTGATTTAATAGCGTTTTCTATTTCATCTATAGTAAAATCCGTATTCAGTTCTTCACATATGTCATTCGGATAAATATCATTTGGATTTTCATTTTCATATACATTACTATCAAAATTTATATCTTAAAATATTCGTATACTTCGTTAAGGTCCGCGCTACAATTGGAAACTTTCTTACCATTCAATATTTTCCAGTATTCTTTGGGATTAGATTTACCCAATTTCCTTATTTTTTCAATGTTATGTATTTTATATTCTTTATAACTTTGGTGTAATGCATTTTTGTACTCATGACTTTTAAATTTCAAATTTGTTTTGTTTTCATTTTTTTTTTCTCAGTTTATACAAATATTTTAGCTCTGTGAAAATCACGCCTGGTAGTTTTACATTTATTATTAAACCAATGTTTAGAAGCAGAATTGTTACTTTCTTTATTATGTTTTGTTTTAAATGTACCAAAAGATTTACAGGCACTTTCATGAAAAATATCACCTATTTTTGACACTGCATCATTTAAGTCATCTGGAGAAAAAGAATCATTATTCTCAATATTGTTTAAAGCGTTCATTATATCATTTACTCTAGTCGTATCGATGTTCTTAACAAAATCTTTTGCCTTTCCGGCGTTCCATAATCTAACATTCTCATTTGATACGGTTTTATTTTTGTATATGATCCTCAGAATTAAAAAACTTAAAAGAAAGCGATATAGGATTATGAACGTCTGATAATAATGGACAGTATTCAAGAACATTCATGTCAACAATAGATCTAAATACATTTGACGAACACACAAAATAATCTACGGTGCTCACATTTTTACAGGTCACTGACCCCAGAAAATCTCCCTTAGTTCTACCATTTAAAATATACATATTATTATACTGTAAAAAATCAATAAACTTGTACCCAAAATTGTTAACATGTACATCTTGATTATTTCGTCTGAGACAAACATTTGTATCATGAAAACAGTTCATATCTGACTGAATATCATAAAAAATATCATCCAGTTCTTAACTATTGTTTTTAACTATATGTGTAAAGAAAAAACTTGACCAGCTAGACCTTAGATGTTTAGCATGAAACATCTTGTAATGGGTGTCTACCAAATTTGTTCAAATAAAAGCCCTGGGGTCAAAACTGGCCCCGCTCCGGGGGCCTATATACAGGTGAGCGACTTCAGGGCCATCATGGCCCTCTTGTTGATTTTGCACAACTAAGTTGAAAGTTAACAATATTCTTCAATACTGTTAAGGTTTATTGTTTATTATATATTTATGTACCCTGAAGAAGGCTGTTCAGCCAAAACATTGGTATATTAAATGGAATTTTAAGAATTTGACTACTTATTACTAATTATTCAAATGTTCATATATAATAGTATCTTAAATAAACAATATTAATCATTATTACGAGATTTCTCGTAATTGTATATTCGTCTGCACAGTTACCTCACATCAACGTTGTATTTTAAGATATAAGGACACCTATCAAAAAAAAAGAACACTATATGTCAGTTAAGTTTGTTCTTGAGTTTCTTAAAAACAAGACCACTAATATAATTAATTATACGTAGAGAGAAAAACTTTCTAGTATGAATACATATAATCGTACTTCAAGGACATATTTAGGCCTTGATGTTTCACACAGAAGGTTAGACATTGAATACAAATGTCTAACATAAGTTTTCAGATCTTTTCATCGGTTTTGAAAAAAATCTCTTTATATTGAATTTGCACTATCTCATAGATACATCATTTATCTATTATTAAGCAATCTATTTAATAAGTGTAGTTTTCTATGCCTTAAAGTATTTCACTATGAAATTATATTTGATATTCTATTTTTTATGATTAAAAACGCTAATTTGAATTTGCCGTAGCTTTTGGCGTTTCGACCTTGTTCATCGGCATAATATATTCAGACAAAACAAGGGAAGATAAATGTATGATGATGAACATATTGTACAAGGTTCTGTTATGTTCTGCTCCTTTCTAACATAGTAACTGTGATATGTATATGGCTTTTTAATTTAATGTACATAATTAGACTTTACTATCACATCGTTCATGAATGAATATTCGGTTTTATTTTAGTGGCATATTTAACACATACATAACTAGGACTTAAAAGTCCTAAATTACACTGCGGCTTTGTTCGTATATCTTCATTACACAAAACATATATTGGATTATCATACTTTCATAATAACATACATTCATAACATTATTGTCCGGGAACAATGATTTATAATTGGAAAAATTGATCCATTTATTCTGTATCCAATGTCAAAATAAAGATTTGAGCGTTCAATGCCGAGTGAATCGTTTATTGTTGTACAAATTACTGTTCGATTTTATAATGACTGGGGCGTTGAAACTCCGGTCAATTATAAACCAACTCGTGCTATTTATGTTTGAAATGTAATAGTTCCCACGGCGGATTTTTTTGTGTGTTCGTTTTCTAATATATAAAATGCTATTGTAAAAAATTTCCTCGGGATGTGTTTGTAATGAAATGATCAGTATTGAGAAAACAATAAATTAAGATATAAACTACCAATCATTACCACAAAAAAACTGACATTCTGCAAAAACGTATGCCTTTCTGTAATATAAAAGTCACCTTTCAGTAATAAGTTGTTTTTTTTGTTTTGTTTTTATTTAGAAAATCTACATTATGAATATATTCGTTAATATATTATTTGCCTTTTTTATAATGATAAAAATATTATGTTTATAAAATTGTGCCTCTAATCTAAAGAGTATATTATCTCTATGTTATTATTTCTAGGGAAAAAAAAATTCCGATAATGGGCTGCGTTTCAAAGAAAAGTCCTATGTGTATCCGTCCTATGATGTAAGACCCATTAAGGACTAGTTTAAGACCGTTTCAATATACGTTTTTCTTAAATCAAAGACTTAAAACTTTTATTAAATTCATGCCCCTGAGAAAAGGTAAGAAATACGTAGGCTCAGTTTAAGTCTAAACTAAGGACTTTCTATGACACATAGCCTAAAGTTTTCGTTTCGGCCCAGGTTTGAAAAATTTTAAAAGTGTTTTATTGTTATGTAGTTTAAATAACATCCTTTTTTAGATATCCGACATTAATAATATCTATGCTAGACTACAATTTACTTCTATTTGTCATTACTAAACTAAGATATCTTATGTTAATTTTTTTTAAAAGTAGAAAAGTAATTTGACACCAGTGAATAAATCACCAGTTTTTAAGTTCAAAGATGCCTTTTGTTTAACAACGACGAAGAGAAAAAAGATAATATATGCATTATTCTGTGTGTTTGAATATCTTACATTATCTATGACAAGTAAACATTGATGTGTAAATACATTTTATATGAGGAGGATAGTTGTTTACTTCCCTTTTATATTTTATCCCATAGATTTAAAACAATACAGTTATCAAGTATAGGACAAAAGATATGAATATAGTCACATAATTTCACAGTAGAATTAAGGTACATACATATTTTACCAACTTTTGAGCCTTATTCAGACACCTTTAAGTTCTTTGTAAATAGTTTATATACCAATGTCACTTTCGATTTATTTTTAGGCATATACATGTATAACACAATTTTCTTGTTGTTTTTGTTGTTTTAAGAATACAGTTCTGGTATTAAATTTTATCGAAAAACTCATGTCTTTATCTCATGCATGTAACAATATTGTGCATTGATGTACACATTTCTTACCTGCCTAGTGACAAGATAATATCCAAACAAACAATATCCATGGTAACTTGTCTTTAAACGAAAAATGTGAACAACCTATTTCTATATTCAGCACTTCTTTATTGTACAATAAACGTTCTCATATCCTGCGCGTTAGGATAAAATAAAACATTTTTATAATAACTTAAAATTGACATCGTTTTTTGTAATATAAAACAAATAAACTGACGAGATTTTTTCCAAACTTATTAATACATTAAATTAAGCAAACGTCTCAACATTAAATCTCAATCCACCGTGTGAAACAATCAATCGAAATTCAGTTTATTTGATTTCTGATTCTTATTCAATTGAAATCCGAATGTGGATTTACGCTTAACACTGAATGGATTAAATTGCTGTTACATGCAAATACGTCTATTTTTCACTGTCAATAATTGTAAGTTGGGGCACAAATGTTATCAGCCGACGTTGTAAATTTTATCAATTTACAGTACTTATAGTTATCGGTATTTTCAATAAAAACTACCCATAAATAGAGTCGGTGTCCGGGCTCATTACTGGCTACCATGGTACAGTTATCTATTAAAGGGAGACACAGGCAAAATTTTCATTTCTTAGTTTTGAAATTTTCATTCATTATTCTGTAAATATCCTCAAAATGAATACACTAAACAGTCAAAGGAACAAAACTTTTCTCCATATAAAGAATAAAATGGTGTTTTCCTAACTTGACCCGCGTGGGTCAGGTTAGAGCGCTAAAATTTCACAATAGTTGTCACTCTGTACTCTGGAAACGTTAAAAAACATGTCAAATCAATTACTTAGACTTGTTTCAATCATACAATATCCACAATATTTGTTATTGTAACTTCCAGGGTTTGTTCAAATCGCATGACTTGTTTTTTAAACTATTCGGTGATTCTGTTCGTGTCAAAATTTCGTTCAACATATATAGATATATTTAAACTTCAAACCCAAAATATATAGAATTTATACAGAAATTCATGTTGGGACTTTAAGAAATGTCATTTTAGGGTGATTTGAGTACAGAAAATCATTTTTATATTTTTGCCATTATTTTGCCTGAGTATCCTTTAAGATAGAATAAAATACATAAAAATATTTTCTATAGGAATATATAGAGGATAAAATGATAGTTGTTTGTTTTTGAAAGCTTATTGATTATATTTCACTGGGTAGTGAGTTTTCTTTGTTGAAAGTCAGCCAGAATTGAAATATTATATATTCATATAAAACAAGGAAATGCATAATTTTTCTCTTTTACAACGAGTAGTAAACAATGGGTGATATGAAATATATCTCATTGAGAAATCAGTATTCTTGTTGTTGAGCAGAGTTGAATTTGAAACAGTTTTACATTCACTATTCATATTGAACAATATTTTAAAAATCGACTATTTATGTATTCTTGTTTCATTTTTTATCTATATTATTAGTTATCAAGATTTTTGACAGGTTATATTGCGTATATAAACTGTTGTTATGAAATATAACCCGATCAGCTAGACGAGGATTATATTGCAAACAACCGTTTATATACGGTCATAAAACCTGTCAGAAATATTTATAACGAATTTATAATACACCAATCATCTTTTAAGAAAAAAAAGTGAGATTTCTTCATTAAATCACAGCAGCCGTGTATATCATGAGTTATAAAGATTTTTGACAAATTATATGGCCCTATATAAACTGTTGTTATAAAATATAACCGAGCAGCTAGACGAGGATTATATTGCAAACAACCGTTAATATACGGTCATATAACCTATCAGGAATATTTATAACGAATTTATAATACAGCAAGCAATCTTTTTTTAAGAAAAACGTGAAATTTCTTCATAAATTAACAGCAGTCGTGTATATAAAACTTTATAATACTGCACGGCTCACTGACGGTTTTAAATGTCACTTTTCATTGAATAATCGTCACGTTTATATAGCGGGTTATATTTTCCAAACAGCCGTTTATATAGGGTCATAAAACCTGTCAAAAATATTTTTAACTTATAATATAAACGTCAAGATTATCCAATGAAAAGCGACGTTAAAAACGTGCAGTATTATAAATAAAAAATTTTTTAAAGTACTTTCAGTATACAATTGCAAGATTATAATTAGTAGGTTCTTTAATAATCATTCGTTTGTATATGACATGTGGATGTAGTTATTATCTAACCTGCTGGAACCGCAAAAATTATTAGCATTTGCCACAAGCATGTAGAGCTAGGCGAGTCTGAACTTTCTTGCAGTCTGAGAGGGATCCAATCTGATTAAAATCAGCTCCTAACTAACGCTACGCATTCGGAACATGCAAGAAATAACTAAGTAGATCTGAACTTTAGTCAGCTTGATTGGCCAGGCTCTATTCTGTTGGCTGATCAACTGCGAATGTCCACCTCGATATCCCGATAATGGACAGTTCCAAAAATGGAAGCAAAACAAAGTCCCATATAAACACGTTAAGCACTCACCTCTTGATGAAATAAGGACATTTTAATTTTACTTTTGTGACAAAAAAGCAAATTTACAGAGATAAAAAAACTGCAACATTCAAAACCTTACGTGTTAAAGACTCTCAAACAGTTTAGGAAATTGTGTTTTCTAGACTGTATTTATAAAACGTCGCAGAATTCACGATAGATGATGAGGATGCAGTGACGCAGTAATAAATATCTTTATTACGGCATAATAGTGTGCAAAATGGCTGGGATTATATTTGTTCAATCGAATTTGATATCATCGATTTAAGATTGATATTTTCTCTAGATTGTAGGCATATATTTGTATAACATAGATTAGAGAATGATCAGCGGGAACTTAAGCCACGATTAAACTTTTAAGGGCTTTAGATACAATCCAATTAAAGTATGAAAATATTCTACTTTACTGCGCATTGATTTATTGTGAACATGTTGAGGACACTACAGCGGGACTGTATAAATATTTGCAGTTTCGCCAAATGCATCATGAAACATGATATCAACAGCACTTATTGGCGGTAGAAATATTGCTACTTAACTGTCAAGCATATATGACTAATTCACATATAACATGCTAGAGGTAAGATATTGAACACTCGAGGTTGAAGATGAGGAAATTTGACTGACGTATACAATGGGTGTGTTTGGGGATGTAGAAATGCAAAAAATTTCAATACTATTCAAAGACGATGTTTTAATTGAACAGTACATCTATAATATACGGCTTGAATTAAACTACAACATATTTTAACTTCTGATATAATGATATTGATTGTCAATTTATTTGGATTTCTACAAGGTTTTGTTTAAGAGCAGCTTTAACAGAATTCCAGTCATAAAGGTGCACTTTTTCTTTAAAAGCGAGTTTCGGATTTTGCGTTGGTACTAAAGAGTTATTCCGCATCTGCCAAACTTATCTATACACAAATACAGGAAGAGAGAATCATGTGTACCGTCGTTACACAAATCATGACGGGAACATACGCCACGCCAACTACTCGAACTCTCTAGTCCGAAGCACATAGACATATAGTTTTACAATAATATCTATCGGGCGCCCTTTTTTTCCCAAAATTCAGGAAATGATGTCGATAGGTAATACAGAAAAACTTTTTCCGGGAATCCGTACATTTGTTTTTATAAACTACGACTATTAGTCTCAAAAAATCCTAATTTAAAAATACTGCAAAAAAATTATTTTCAAAGATTCCCGGGAAAATTTTTTACAAAATCTAAAAGTACAAAGTTGAAAACATTAACAAATAAATTTAATATTAATATAATATACATAACAATAAAGTGATATACATTAAAAACGACGTTCAAATGGCACATCATACATCTAAGGTGTCGCAACTGCTAAGATTTGATTTTATTTTTGTCACATAGAATATATATGTTGGCCACCTTAAAGTTAAACCTATATCATTATTATCATCATCAGTATATTACTTTTCACAACATAATTTACATCACAACAAAAATATCAAAAATATTACATACTACAATATCATTATGGCACATATAAATATCACTGTCTCATATAAAATAACGCTGTGTCGCAAATAACGCTGTGTCGCAAATAACGCTGTGTCACATCGTTATGAACATAGCACTGTGTCGACTTGTAATGTGAAATTAGAAAAGTGACGCATCATAATGCAAAATAGTAAGCAAGCACTATTACACATTAACACAAAAACAAATACATGTAGACATAAAAGACGGGACACTTCAATCAAACGTCATGGGTCATCACAGTTTGAACTTGTTCAGATCATCATGGATGTTATTTTCGCACATGCGCAGTTTTTAGTTTTTATTGCTTTGTTCCGTTCTGTGGGTGACCAGGTGCTGACGGAGGGCTATATGGTGGGGGCTGCTCCATGTATGAAGGTACTGAAATAAAAGAATAAATAACATATTAAAGATTCACAATATCTGATTTGCTTTGGGTTTTTTTTAGTTTGTTACTAACCATGCACTGTAAGGCATTGTAATGGAACAAACTGCAGTGCACTTACTGTATTGATAATAATATAAAGGGATACAGCAACAGCATAGCGTATATAGATCATTAATAAACTCGCAATAACATATGAGCCGCGTCACGACAAAACCAACATAATGGGTTTGCGACCAGCATGGATCCAGACCAGCCTCCGCACCCGCGCAGTCTGATCAGGATCCATGCAGTTCGCTTACATACCCTATAACAAGTAAAGAAACTGAAAGCGAACAACATGGATCCTGATCAGACTGCGCGGACACGCAGGCTGGTCTGGATCTATGCTAGTCGCAAACCCATTATGTTGGTTTTGTCGTGATACGGCTCATATCTTTGTACCAAAGGTGATATTTGCTCAAGATAATAAATAAAAGACTACAGTATTTCTTTGGAATCTATAGTATCGAAACACCATACCTTGCTGGGGATTTGGATAGGCAGAGGGATACTGGTATTGCTGTTGTTGTTGCTGTTGTTGTTGCTGTTGTTGCTGCTGCTGCTGCTGCTGCTGCTGCTGATGTTGCTGATACTGTGGTGGATATTGTTGTTGTTGTTGTTGTTGTGGGAGTTGATGTTGTGGGAAATAGACAGGAGCAGCATATCCCTCAGTGCCTGTAAGGCCAGGGGTGGCGATCACAACACCTACAAACAAAATCATATCATTTTTAAAACGGTATATATATAATGATAGTATATGATTCATATATTAATCGAAAATCAAACCAAGTACATGTGGACCATTTTCAACTACAGATTTATCATACATGTTGAGCACATATGCTAAAAACATTGCAACAGCTTTATGTTAGATAACATTTATCTAAACATTACACTTTGTATGTAATGTAACAAGAAATTTCTATATTTGCACAATGACTGTTCATGTACATTTGTATACATATTGAATTATGCTTAAGTCGGTGCTTTGGGGTGTTACCTTTAACCTATATACCACTGCCGTCAGTCAAACTAAGCCTGCAGTGTTTTAAACTGACATACTGGTCAACGTTCATGGTTTTCTCTTTTGACGATTCGAATGCCACAGAGAGACAAGCGATGAAGAACAACCGTTTAGTTTGGTTGCTATGACATCGAAATCCGGACTGTACAGGGCAATTTCATGTCATACTAGAGGGAGAATGGAGTTAAATTATGTTAACCGACTTACCTGCACTACCTCCACGATAAAATGGTAACTTTCTCCTCTCTTCTGTCAGTTTGTTACAATCTTTCACGAGACAATGCATCCTAAACCCGTCAACAATCCACCCTATACCCATCAATCCGAATGTCATAAAATACAGGAACCCCCACACTGGCCGGTTTAGATAGAAGTGATGTGCTCCAATCAAACCTGAAATAAGTCCGAAATATATGATGTGTGCGCATGTTGTAATATGTGGTGACCGAGCAGGCGCAATTCTTTTTTATGAAAAGCAAGCAATTAAATGGATATTTACCCAATGCAAATTTGAAAATTGTTGTGAAAACATATCGACGTCGCTATTTTGAGTGTGTGTGGATTTTTTTTAACGTTTGATACCTAATTTATCGTAAATAAAAGTAGATGACTTAATATTTTAAAATAGCATTAATAAAAAAGAAAAACTATTTAAATGCTGGTTTATAGGTTTTAATTGTACTAACATTAGTTTGACGTCGTACTCTGTTTCATTAGGCGTATCAGATAAATTAACCAGTTCTTACCAAGGGGAAACCATAATACATAAGCATCGTCAACATGTTTTTCTCCCTTGTCTCCAAGCGCAATTTCTTTATTTGTCCGTTTCACTAACACGGGCATACGGAACCAGTCAACGAGCCAGCCGACCCCAAAGTTTCCGAAAGTAAAGAAATAGACCAGACCAAATATTGGCCTTCTCAGATAGAAATGATGACATCCGAGGATTCCGAGAGGAGACATTCCTAAAGCATAGGCTGCACCAACATGTTTATTCTGAAATGAAAAAAACGTGTTTTGAATACTTCAAAATATATACATTTTAAATAAGATAAATGGAAGCCTTTAAGGACGCCTAAGACGGCAAAATCAACGAATATTGCAGGCGTGTTTAAAACGAGCTTGTTTTATGGATGGCAGTGGTAAATGTCATCTATCTTCATTGTTCTCTAGGACCGGTTAAATCACAATGAAACATTTATACATGAAACATTTAGATGTGTTCATTTTTCGTTCCATTCCATGAACCCTCGCGTAATGGACAGAACTAAATAGAATTATATTTTTGAAATCTTGTATAATCCGTGAGAAAGCTAGTCAGCTACCATATGAGAGACGTTGATTCGTCCGAACATAAAACACTGCAGGAAGGGATAATGAAAGATTTAATCGAAATATTTCATACAGCAAGCTTGGTAGCAAGCATTCTCAAAAAATCCAGAAAACATGTGTCTGGACAAACGTGATTATTTTTAGAAAATGAAAATGTTCCTTAAGTTTAAGACAATAAAGCGGGATCTTTCTTTGATCTACTTTTAACATACATTATCTAGCTCCGGATCATTGTTGGTATTCTTCACTAGAGACGGGATACGAAACAAGTCCACCAACCAGCCAATACCGAACAGTCCAAACGTGAAAAAGTACAAAGCACCAAACCCTGGACGGTTCAGATAAAAATGATGAAAACCTGAAAATAAATAAACAAAACTGATAATAAATTTACCTGATAGTGTAAGTTATATTAAATATTTTAGTTAGTGGGCTTTAACCAGACTCCATGTTACGATAGGCCTAAAGTAGGATATTCCGATCATAATACATGTACATAGGAAGGGTTGCAAACAAGAGAACGAAAGAATACTGCCTTCGATTCATTTCTATTCCCTAAATTAAAAGACAAATAAACGACGTTCGCACTAATTAAATAAACAATTTTTATTTATTGACATATCTGTCAGTTAGTCGCCATGGCAACATCTGCCAATACTAGAACATTTTTATATCAGGGACAAGTTTCTACCTAAGAGTCCGAATGGGAACCATAAAGTATAAGCATCGCTGATATTTTTCTTGTTGTCTTTTCGAGGATCAGCCAGTCGTTTGTTAGCCTCCTTCACTAAATACGGCATCCTGAACATATCTACGATATAACCCCATCCTAGCAGGCCAAACGTCAAAATATACAACACACCGAAATATGGTCTCTGAAAAAATCACATTACATTGTTAAATTTCTACATTGGATTTTATTTGTTACCTTTCAAAATACAATACAAAATTGGTTAAATGAAAGCTTTATAACAGTAATGATAATTTATCTAAAAAAAATGTCCTCATTGACAGTGCGGTTAAACTTGCTGATCATGGGGGTAAATAAGGAAGCACTAAATTACTGTATACACATGAACGTCATTCATCCAGTTTGCAGTAGCCTAATTTTGTGTCAGTACAAAAGTATTTGTTTATGAAGTATATACTTCTTCACATAATTATATCATTTGAATAAATGTTAAAGGATAAATGGCATTTTTGTTAGCTTAACATACTTCTGATATTTTACCTATAAGCTATTGCGTTTGTTTTATCAGCATAAAGATCATTTTTTAAGCGATATTTTCCTTGATTTTATCTGGTCTCTGATAAAGATTTTAAAAAAATATAAAAAAATACCACAACATCTTGTTAAAAGAAATAAATAAAACCCATCTTTAAATACATTAGAGACATCTGGCTATTTTTGTTTTTCCAATAGTGTTTTTAAAGTATATAGTATACACGTTAGACTTCATGCAAGATTTTTTACACTCAATACTTTAATTAATAATATTTTTTCATATAAATGACATTTCATCGTTAAGATTTCCCCTAAACCACTGGTATAATAGCGACCCTTTGGTTGACTTGGCATATACAATAAGCCAAGGTTCGCCAATATGCACAAGGTTTTATACCCCCAAGATAAAAATCAAAAATTTAATAAAAGAAACGAAAAAATAAGAAGAAAAAAAGAACTGACTTACCCGTAAGTAAAAATGATGCGCTCCTACCAGTCCTAGAATTAACCACAGAATATAACAGTCCACGAGGGACTTCTTCGCTTGCACCACTCCATGAATCTGTGGATATACAGGAGCCGTAACCGGACCTGGTACAACTGTGGCTGGGCCTGGAGCCGACGTGTTGTACGTTAGTCCTGGGTAAGCACCAGTCTGTGGCGGACGCGAATCATATTGCTCCGTATGAAAGACGGGAGCTGGTTGCGGGTTTGAGCCGGGCTGTGTCTGTTCAACAGTCCGTTGCTGGAAAGCCTCTCGTTCTTTAGACATTTTATCCTTTATTGTTTTCACAACCTACCGTCTGGTTATAACAGAATACCCGTTTTAAGTAAATCTACTGGTTGTATTTCAAAATAAGCACTTAGTGATACTATAAATAACTTGGACGAGAAGTCACATGAGTATGACAGGTCACGAGATAAAGCAGCGTTCTTTATAATTAAGCTAAGGTAAACACACATATCACCTGACCGCGATAAATGTAAATGAATCACAACACTTCCATATTAGCTATCATTACGGTTCATCCTTTATAAAAATAATATATCTAAGCAACAGAATTTATGGCTGCGCACTGAGTATATAGTATGTATATAATAGTGTAGCTGTAAATAATTCATTTCTGATTAAGGAAGTTACACAACAATTGAAACTTCCTCAATTTAATGATTAACAAACATGAAACAATATATTGGAGGAATATATTTAGAAATAAGACTTAATCGGATTTTTTTCAAGCAATATTTGATAAGAATATCCCATTTCTATCTAAAATCTAAAACTATAATATCTAAAATACAGAATGTACTTTTAAAAAATGGGCTCATTGTAGAACAATTAACTTTCTCGCTTCGCATCATTTTTTCTATGGTTACTAAGGGAGTATATAGTGTTATTTTTGCGCATTTTGACATATTACAGGTCATTATATAGGAAAAAAGTATCTATATACTCGTATGTGAATTATTGGTGCCTGGTTTCAGTTGTGATTACTTTATTTGTTCACATGTCAATATTTCTACTTTTCATATTCTTAAACAAATCATGAATCTCGACGCATGCTGCTTTAAAGAATTATATTCCTGGTGTTGTTTTATTGTATAATGTATAGTTTCTGTTTTGCTATATTTACTTATTTACATTTTTATTTATTTTATATTTATTTTATATTTATTTTATCTATCTGTCAAATATACCGGTTTAAAGGATTTGCTTATTAAAATGTAAGAATTGTTAACTAACGTTATGGTTGGCAGGTAAAATATTGATTTCATATCATATGATTGTAAGTGTTCACCGTCACATGCTCGATCAATATACATATATAGAACATTAGAAAAAAAAATACAAGAAACATTTAGGTTCGTTGCAGACAAGCGGTTGGCGTATAAACCCTTATAACGCTGTGCACGCCATTTTCTATATTAAGGAACAAATTGGCTTAAAATGCACTGCCTTGTGGGGTTTAAATTAAATACCGTGTAATCACGTGTTAAATTAGCTAGGCTCACATGATAAGGGAGCTTGTATAAAAAGGGGGCCGGTCAGGTGACAGGTTGCCCTCGACGCCTTGTTTCTAAACATATTGATAATGATGGTGACTTCACGCGGAGATGTTCGGACTAAAACGCTGCGATAATGAGAAAGTCATCTGTTCACTGTAAACAGAGGGGCAGTGGCGGGAAATTAAAGCTTGTGTCACTGAAGGTTTTATCTGGATAAAATTAATATATTTTCATTAAATTGATATAAAATCTTATTCAGAATACCTTCGCACTCTAGCTTGGGGAAATAAAATAGTTATAAGCTTACAGTCACGAACCTTCATCAAAAGCGATCTTATACATTTATATACATCTTGTGACAGAAAAGAGCATGTATTATATAAAATATTTCATATGCTCAGGTGAAATTTGTTTGTAAAGTTCAAATCTTCGACAAAAAGCGTAAAAGCTACAACATTAAAGTATTCACTATGTATGTACGGGTGCACAACTATCGAGATCTAGACTTTAAAAATACAACCCCTACCTCACGACTGCGGCAGATTCTCTGGTCTTTATTTTCTGTAAACCGTTGGTCGTGTGTTCGAACAACGTGCGGGGTGGGTTTTTTTCCAGATGCAAAAGCATCTTGATACCTTCTTACCAACTTGAATGAGTAAAATATGAAGTGGTACAAGTCATCTTTATTAATATTAAAATATTTATAATGTCCATATTAAAGCGACATTATGAAGAAAAAAATCAGACATCGGTCAAACAGAAACGAAACACGTGCTTTCTGTGGACAAATTTCACGCCGAACTGATTTTCGCGCCGTTAATTCATCTGCATGCGCGCATTACTTGATAAAATGCACTTGAGAATGACTTTAATTGGGCTGTTACTCTCCCACTAAACTGACTTTGACACTTTCACAGCATCAAATCTGTTAACAATCCACAAATCCTGTAAACATATTTTCACTCAGATGTTTAATTAGTGTGCATCTTTTTGTCCGTAAGTGAATGTCGCGAGCGGTAATTAGTGATTTGTGTCCACGATACGGCGACCTTTCAGAGCACAACACACATCCCCGCCCTGGGGTGTGCTTTTAATATGGAGGGCTTATGCCCAATAAGTTGGCATGCAGATGCAATATTTAACCTGACGTCACAATTTGATTGTGAAGCTGAAATGAAGATCGTTTCGTCTGCATTTTAACGTGCATTATATCTGCTGCAACAGACGACACTGGAATTACAATTCTGTTCCCATATATACAATTAAAACAGAGCATACATCTTATAGAGAATCATGAAAACTGAGGACGAAAATAACGTGTCAGAATGCGGGGATATTTCTGTTTGTGACGACGCCGCCAATGAGAAATCGTCGGCACACTTGTCGGGAGGAGAAAATAAAGAAACTGACGACAATCACGATACAATCAGATATCGGCAAAACATTGATGAATTCCGTTTTACAAGAGATAAACATGTGATTGATCATACAAAACAAGAGCTGGATGCTCTTTTAGAGAACGATTCGGATGTAGACAAGATCGGCACTAAACAGCAGAGAGCTAAAATAAATCTAAGAGAAAGAAAACGTATGCATGACTTGAACCTAGCGATGGAGGGATTGCGGGAGGTTATGCCATGTGCTAACGGTCCTTCAATGCGAAAACTATCTAAAATTGCAACTCTATCTCTGGCAAGAAACTACATTCAAATGTTAACAAGATCAATTGAGGAGTTAAAAATAATGTTAGATGAAGCATATCGGTCTCAGTCCGTCGGCCCGACGCTAACACGCCGTCGGAATGATGTAACTGTACATCCTTACAGACAATTCGTTGGGATAAGAAGTGCAAACGTAAGCGGTGGAATGGTAAACAATTTTGACAGTCATTATTCATTAAGGTTTGAGCGACATAGTAATACATCCAGTAGTTTTATCAGGAACGCGAGCACGTGCTGCACGAGAAATGATGATGCTAGTATACAAAGAGGGCTATATCACACACCGTGGAGCAACAATATGTCATAAAATCTACTTAAAGACATACTTTTTCAATAATCATATTTAAAACGAAGTAATAAAATCAATTCATTTGCGACATAAAAAGTGAATTTAAGTTAAACTATCAAATTGTAGTGCTGCAATGTGTTTAGGGAGTAACCAAGATGTATGTATGTGTTGATATTATAGTGGATTCATAAAATATGGATATGTAAATGTATGTTTGTTAGGATTCAAGAACACGGTGACATACACAAAATAAAATAGACATATCAAACTGCAATTAGCTCAATATTATACAAGTTGATTTTTATCTGAAATGTGAAAACTAAATAACACTAATAGCATGAAAAGTAAAGCAATACATCTGCCAACAGTTTAATATATATGAGCTCCATTTTTATAACATCAATAGTGTTGTCTTATTCTTATAATTATACAAATATACTACATGTATTTTAATTCTTGTTAAATTAGCAAATGTAATCTATTGGTTTAAAGTACTATACAACTCTTATCCTTGTATTTTTATTGTATTTTTGTAAATAAAACCAACTGGACAACATTTGATTTGTATTGTTTATTTTCTAATAAAAAGGAAAACAATATAAACAACATGATATAAATAACTCAATGATAAATCATGGCTTTTATAAAAACAAAATGTACTTTCTAGTGTAGATGTACATTATATTAAAGATATTATAATAGTTTAATTACTGCACTGTTAAATAATCAGATGTTTATATTAATATCTTAGTATATAACAAGTGACACATTGCAACCACTGTATGTAACAAATGTGTCATTTGTGTTTTATTTCATATTCAACTGCATATAGGTATAAGCATCCTATTTATGTTGTCAACTTTTGATTGAGGAAAATAATGTAATAGAGTATAGTATACTGTGGTATATAACAAGTGACTTCATACATTGTTAAATAACCAGATACTTAACAATATATCTTGGTACATAACAATTAATTTATGCAGTGTTTAATACTACATGTAGTAGCTACATATGCACCAAGATATTTCAGATTGACTTTTATCACCATGTATGTTTTTGCTACTATAGATTTCTCCAAAATATAAACTAATCCTCTAAATCGCTATAAGATCAGTCTGTCACATAAATTGATAAAGCACTTATCATACTGAAAAATAAATGAGCAGAAATCTGAACTTAAATCTTCAGACATGACATTATGAATAAAATAACCCAGCGAGTCAAATTTCATAAAAGCATAATTATTATGTCACTCAAGAAATTCTTCACACACAAAAAGTGTTCAATAAAACTCTGAATATTTGTGTAATGTACAATTTATACAATGTATATATTTACCTGAAAATGTATTTTACAAATATTTTGTTCTTAAAATAACTTTATGTTACATTAGTATGGTCTGCAATAATAATCATAACCATTTCAAGATATCTGTCTCATTTTTATGTAAATATTAATTCTATGACTAACATATGTTATGTAAGTTTATAGAATGGCCTAAAAGTCTGATTGAAAAAAAGATTTCTATAATCCAAAAAATGTTTTAAATATCATTTTTCCTTGCATGTAATTAATTAATTTTAAGTTTTTGTTGTATTTTTTTTTAATTTTACATCAATTTGAAGACATTATGCAGCTTAAATATTAAAGCCTTATAACTCATTGACTAAATTAAATACCATATTTCTCATTTAAAATAAAAACACTTAGAACTACTTTGGCGTAAAATAGTCTTGCGATATTGATTTAATAATGATCCAAATCAGATTTTTTAATTTTTGTTCAGCAAATCATCAAAATAACTGACAACAAATACACTTTTCAACAAATTAAAGTGAATTGGTCTATAATGTAAAGTATGTTAAAACAAAAAAATAAATATGTTGATAGTAGATACATATATGTATGTTGTTGGCAATTTTGGATACTTGATCTGATATTACATATACATGTACTTATATAGCAGATAATAAAATAGCAGATAATACAGTGTTCTAAGACAAAATGTTATTATTCATCATAATTGTTTATGTTACATTAGTATGGTCTGCAATAATAATCATAACCACTTTACAAATGCACATAATATTCTGATATGTAAAGTGTAAATACTTAAAAATAAAAATGCACATAATATTGTGATATGTACAATATAAATACTTAAAAATAAAAAACTTGAAAATACAACAATGACAAATAATTGCTTTCATATTATTGGATGAATTAGTTAGTCATAGAATTAATATTTACATAAAAATGAGACAGATATCTTGAAATGGTTATGATTATTATCAATATTGCAGACCATACTGCAATTTAACATTAGAACTTTATCCAAGCAATACCTGTTAAGAATATCCAAATAAAACATTCCTGTTGTTATTATCAATATTTGAAATACTTATGGTGAATGTGCCCACTGTAGACCAATCCACTTTAAACATATATTTACACACATATTTTATCAATATTAATGTGTAGTTTACAGAATACTGCAAGTTCTAGGGATCTCTGTTAAACACACAAGTCTACATGTACATCAATAATTCAATCAATTAAATAATAAAAAATGCCACCTTACAAAAAAGCAAGTATGTATATACAAAAAATAATAAAAACATTTCCTCATATACTACTTATTATTTCTAGTTTTATCTTCAATAGATAGCCATTTTTATCTCCTAGTTCATCCAATAATATGAAAGCAATTATATGTCATTGTTGAATTTTCAAGATTTTTATTTTTAAGTATATATATTGTACATATCACAATATTATGTGCATTTTTATTTTTAAGTATATACATTTTACATAACAGAATATTATGTGCATTTGTAACGTCTCATTTCATTGGATAATCATGATGTTTATATGATCAATAGAAACTTTCTTTAACAACCAAGGTAAAAATATTTCTTTTACTCCCATATTTTTTTTTATTTTTTAAGATGACGGCGGAGACTTTATAATGTAATCTTAATATTACTATTAATTAAAAGTAGATAACATGTGGTAAATGTATAGAGCAAACAATAATATGAATATTGTATCCAAAATCAAAATAATGCCATGAACAGGGAAAGTTATCATTACATAATGAGCATGTGGATGCTATCTAAAAATAGACACATACGAGGGTTGATCAATATATTCATGGACGCTATTAATAACTTAATAATTAATCAAGATATTTTAAAGAAATTTGCTATTTAGGAGAAGTATTAATACAATTACAAATATGTTGTGATTTTTAAAAAAAAAATCTCATTTTGTTGATTTTATGTATCGCCATAGCTACCCTATGCCGTACGAACGCCGCAGCTTAAAAAAGTTATATTTACCGTTTTAAAATACTTAAAAATTGTCCTTATTTTGGTGCCCTTCTTTACTATACGATAATGACGTCAACGTTCTTTCATAACGTTTATAGAACATTTGTTAAAAAAAATTAATGTCGCTACGACTTCTTTTGTTTGTTGGAGATGTCAATGGAGACAGGGGTGTGTCACCAGAGAGGAGCACGACGTTCTTGGAGCAGAGGCAGTAATTAAGTTCTGTGTAAATCTTGGTATGACGCCACAGGAGACTAAAGAAAACATGGAAATTGCATCCGAAACAAACAACGCGCTCATTTGTAAGTTTATAATGGCACAAACGCTTCAATGAAGGTAGAGAAGAACTCAAGGATGATAAGAGATGCAGCAGACCAACTGAAACTTGTTGCAAATGCAATGCGAGTGAAATTGAAGGCACAAATTTACTGGGCTCCATGATTTACAGTCAAGGGCATTGTCTGTGTTGCGTTCATTTGTTTTTATAAGAACATTATCAGTCAGTGGGAACACAGGTATGAACAATGTGTAGAAGTTGGGGCTGCGTTTTTTTTAGAAGATGTAACGCCAACATCACGACGTAATATAATTTGCCAATGAGCTGCGGCGATCAGCTATACATGTATTTCTAAAACTGTCATTTCGGATAAAATATACGGATTATTTATCTGAAACTTACACATCAAATTGATAAATCATTGAAAAAATGTCAAATATAATTATATTTACATTCCTTCCCCGAAAAAATAATTTATGGAGTGTGTCCTCGAATATATTGATCAACCCTCATATTTCTCCTGAATTCAAGCAATTTTAACACAATTTATCACTATTGATGTACTTAAGTAAAGCATGGTGTACACAAAATTCATCAACAATTTATACATTGCTAAGTATAACCATCATCTATTTCAACCCAATAGAGAGTTAACACATCTATATCTTAAGTAACTCAGATCTGTATGTTCAGGTGATGGAAAATGTAACTGAGATACAACATAACATGGATGAAAATCCCAACTTAACACAGATGAAATTTAATACAACACGACACAGATGACATCTAAATTGAATCCTCTATTGCCACAAGTCCTCTGTTCTTCCAAACTTAAAAATCAAAGAACTGTAAAAAAAAAGAAACATCTAATAAAATAATATAACATTTTATAGTATTAAATAAATTTAGAATTATTTTAACTGTTTAATTGGAGAGTTAGTACCAATATATAACTGGATAACTTGAAGCTGAGAATTACACAACAGGTTCTTTGATGGTAAACATGTATAAACTTTTCTGTTACTTCACATAAATTACTTGACACATGAAGAATGCTATATGGAAAATTTTCCTCAACAAAATTGCCTGAAAACCTAATTTTACGTATTATGTTCTCCTGATAATAACCTGAGAGCTAGATGTTAAGTGACCAAACACACTCTAAAGTGAGCTTTTCTATCAAGTAAATTTGTATTTAATTTGAAAACCACAAAATCAATTTATCTTAAGATGGGCCAATATGCAAAGATGGACTAAATTTTGTATAACTTACAAAATGACAGAAATATAAAGTTAACACAATGTAACATAAGTCAAAATACAGGTAAACGTTTGGTCTGGTTAATAAATCTACAGAAAATTTGGCTGCATACTCTTGTAGACTGATCTTGTGATATTTCTTAATTTGTTTTCAAATTGTGTGTATAAAAAGATATCAATAATTGAATATAAATTACAAAGGTGTCAGAGAAATAATGTAAAATAAACTCATCCAAACTTAATGAACAATATTATCAGGCTTACATTTATGATATTTTATTAAACTGCATGAGCTACTTTTTCAAGCAATAATATCACAGACTGTGTAATAGATGTTTATGAAATAGAAAGATTAAGTTTGACATATAAAAAAGAAAGCATGTTTTCCTAGCATGTATAAGCTAACCTATACCACTCAATATATTATTATACCCCAATTTACCTACATAACAGTACAATGTATACAAAATCCCAAACAAACTAAAAAAAACATGTAATACAGTAAATGGTTACCTTTTCCTAGCTATACTATGATTGTAGGCTATCTGAGTAGCATTACAAGATATTTCACTAGTACTACATACAAATATGATTTCAAAATTTGAAGAAAAATTCAGAAAAAGTATTAAAAAAAAGAATTACATTTTTTTTCTTCTTAAAACTTTTGATGTTAGTACTGACTGAAATATTTGCCTACAGAAGAGGTAACCATGTACTAGAGAATGGAATATATAGAATATAGTACTAACTATGTTAGAGAGCTAAACAAGCTGTTAGTAGAAAGAGAGATGTTATTCCCAGAGATCCTCTGCCCGGCCAAACTTAAACACCATGGCACTGTAAAACACACACACACATATACACATTGTGATATCACTGTAGTCTTAAAGTTATTTGTTTTAAAAGTTAAACTGATAAGCTTATTATAGTGTTCACTAATTGATGGGGCAACAGCAGAACTATTTTTACAGGAGACATTTTACATTTTAAACTTAAAGTAAGACATATGTATCGGTAGACAATCCATAGAAAGATTTTTTTGCACAAACACTTGTAAAATCTGTTCAACAAACATCAAGATATAAGGTTTGTCAATTGTCAGGGGCGTACCTCGGCTTATTTTAAGTGTACGCCGATTGCAGGTCTTTGGCCGAAGGGTCGCCAGAGATATATATAAACTATAGCTAGATGTGCTAAAATAAGAGATTTAGAGGACATCTAAGCTAATTGTACTTCTATTGTCTTTATCTATAGTTATGAAAATAACATCAAGTACATGCATTGAAAGTAAGAGAAATTTCACGAAGTCTAACATTGACAATGTTTTAAAAAGTTCAAGAGTTATTTACTAATAGGAAAACAAAACATTGCCAGGTGTCATTCTATTGTAATAGAAATGTTTAACAAGTTTTTTCTTTGTTATACTTCTTTTGTTTCATCATAACTTAACATGAGATACAATCAAGGAAAATGTGCTTTAAAATGATCTGTATGACTTTAATACAAACACAACAGCTTAATGTTTTAGTGTAACGAAATGTTATCATATTTATCAGGAAGATGTAGTATCGCATGATCATTTAGGTCCCTTAAAATATTTTAAAATGCGTATTATGTCAATGTTGAAGACAGCAAATATTGTCTTTAACAGTTTTTATTCTCAACTCTACTCTTTCAGTTTCCATTCCAAATATTTAAGATATTTCATCAGGAAGTTAAATGCCTCACGCACATAAAAGGATGCTCGCCAACTCGTTATCTAAAGTTGTTGAAAATAAAAGAATTGGGACGTACATGATGTGTCTTATATGGCTTGGGACGTACATGATGTGTCTTATATGGCTATACATTGTTTTTGTTGTATATTTGTCTATGTTTTAAATATGTATAGATGAGACTATGTATAATAAAGAATATATATATGTCATTGTTTGCAGAAGTATGCAACTTATTTCTATACACAATAAAATAATACAGTAGAAACATCTTTCTGTAGTGATATATTTTGTAAATACATGTATTCATTTTTACGGTTAAATCGGTTTGTAACGATAGATGCTGGCAAAGATCTGATTCATAGGGCCCAAACTATTCTACACAATTTGAAATGAATATAAGATGAACGAATGTTACTAAATTAACAAATAATATACTGACTTATAGCTACAAGGTAAATTCCATACAGCTAACTCCGCAAACTACAAGTTGCAGACAAGATCTTAATTTTGCATATAGATCTAGATGTAAAACATGAAATAAATGTTTAGTTTTCACTGATTTTGATTCTTCTGAAAAAATGATTGCAATATATTGGACAATTTTTTATCATTATTTTGATTTTGGCGAGGTTTATTAGCATTATAACATTGATTCTTTAAAGCTTAATTCAATCTGAAAAAAAGAGAAAATTCCAAAGAAATTTTTTATATCATAGTTTTACATTGTGTACGTCACTCCAAGTTTCTGTTGACCAAGTTTCTGTTGAAAGGCCGAATATTTTGTTTTCTGAGTTTCAAAGTCTCATCTTTCGCATAGGGTGGTATAAACTGAAATTTTAAAGATAATTCAAACCATACCTCCTTATAAACACTGATTTCTCGGATGCGAGACTAACACAACAATAGAATAATTCTCTCTAACATGGCTTCCCGTTGATATACACAAGCAATTGTTTTATTTTAATTTGCTCATATGTGCTTTCTCCCTTTTCTTATAATTGAGTTCTTGATTGTTAACGCATATTCGAATAAGGTAACATCCTAAGTATACCTATAGAATCAATTAGCAGCTACGAATATGTTGATCAATCTACGCCCAAATTATTGATTTCATTTTTGATATTTTACTTTTTCGAAACTCTTTTCTTTTTATATGACTGTGCGTATTGGCGTATCGGTAGGTATGCCCCTGACAGTCTCTTACTGTCGACATTTCAGTAAATTATACGGCGCCAAACGCGGCTAAATAATAGAAACAATGCATAGTCTAATGATGCAGCGGTTAAGAATTTTTCATTGGGCCATATGTAACTAAGAAGAAGACGTAATAAGGGGTAAACATCAGGTAATTTGTAAAGGGAGAATATGTACCCCTGTATTGGTAAAGTAAATAAGATTTGCCTTTAACCATTAAAGTATTTTCATGAGGCCATACGTGGCAACCTGCATGCAAGAGACAATATACAGGCTATTAATAAACTAATTTCAGTTTTACACGTTATCATAGCTAGGTGGCTGTCCACAGGCGAATAGTCAGTCCAGTACTGCTGACATTTATTTTTGTATTTTCTGACCGAAGGTCAGTAAATACATAGCTGACATTCAATCTCTGACACAGAATTTCCCGACAAACCTAACAACAAGTAGTTCCCAAAACAGCTTAAAACTAGCGATTTAAAAGAAAGAAATATTTTTATTTTGTTACAAGTATACAACAAATTACAACGCATTCAAAGTTTAAAAGTAGCGTTGTCTTATAGAATTGCCAATAAATGCACAATCACAAATTACGCGGATGAATTTGATTTTAATCAATGAAAATGCTATTTTTAGCGATGTCGATTACCGAATACTACACAAATAAATCTGACTGCCGAGTGGTGGAATATATAGATTCTACATGTCGGACTGTTTGGGCGAGAATATTTTCGCTAAATTTATACTTCAATTTTAAACAACAGGTTTATCCTGAACCAAATACCTCGAAATTAATAAGGATTACAAACCTGGAATGCAATGGAAGTTCTAAATTTAGAATGACTAGATTTTATTCAGACAACCTTTATATAACTTCTCCGTGGTGCAGGGGTAACGCGCTTGTCTAGTGTGTGAGAGGTCTGGAATTCAAATCCAAGTCGAGGCAACTTTTTTTAAATTCTTTTTTAAGTGTCTTGTAAAGGGAGTAGCCATGATATGCAATGATAAAGTGTGGCTGTCATAAAAAATTAACATAAATGATTTTTTGATCCAACTCTACTGTAGTTATGCAAAATTCCGTATGTATCAAACTCTGGTGATTTGCAAGATAAATTATAGTACATAAAAATAAACTTATACAGGAAAATACATACAGATATACAGTACGATTTAGATTGCAAAGATCAGAAAATACCACAGAGCTTGCAGCCCTTTGATTTTACACGCGGCCATACGTAGCTAAGTAATAGAAACAATACACAATTCATTGCTGTAACAGTTTAGAAATTTTCATGGGGTCATACGTGGCTTCGTAGGTGACGCAATACCCTTGCTAAGGGGGTAATATTCTGGTATTTTTCAAAAGGGGCATGTATACCCCTGTATGGGACAAATAAACAAGCTCGGCCTTTTACCATTTAATTATTTTCATGAGGCCATACGTGAGCCCTACCTGCAAGAGACAGTCATCTCAGTTTTTACACGGAACTATACTATGACCCGTGGTTATCGTCGAGAGGCAATGTACAGCCCATATTCGCAGACTTTTTAAAACTTAAAGTATATATTAACATTAATTGATATAGTACAAGACGTTAGCCAATTTTATTTTCAATGGGCTATAAGAAGCAATACGAATTATGATAATAAGTCTGCCTCGGCAACCATTCTAAAATTTACGCGTGGTCATTTCTGCTATGGTCATTTATATATATATTTTTAAAAGATTTTGTTCCATTTGATATAGTTTTACAATATTTTTAAACATACAATGTACCTTGATAATTATAGATGTATGACAGGCGGACCCTCCATAACATTCACCTGAACTCAACTCAGAAAGCAAAATACTTAGGAGTCACTATTAGTCAAGACCTTTCATGGAACAAACATATAAGCAAATAACTCCTTTAGATTCATTAGAAGAAATGTTAATACCCAAATAAAAAGATAAAGAAAACTGCATATAAGACCTATGTTAGACCTCAGGTTGAATATTGCTCCATAGTTTGGCATCCTTGGCCGAAATACTTAATTTATAAGATAGACCAAGGCCAAAGATCAGCTGCTAGATATATTTTTAATGATTATGACTATACAAGTAGTGTCTCAATTATGATAAATGACCTTAATTTGCAAACCCTTGAACTTTTTAAATTGCATATAATAATTTCTTTTATTAACAGTTCCCTAATTATTATCCTTGCTAAATAACAACTCAATCCAAAGTAATAATTAATTTTTGATGAATGAATGTGCGTCACTGTAAGACTAATCTATTAACAAATAAATATACAAGCAATACATGTAAGACTATTCAATTGTCAGAAAAGTAGGCAAACATGCAATACAAGAAGACAATTTAATTATCAGATAATTAAAAAACATGCAATACAGGTAATATAGAACATAAATGCAACAAGCATAAATACCCGCCTAAGACATTGATCCAAGACAGTAAACAAACCATGCAAAGCATAGGATGATACAAAGAATTTCTTGCATATCAGACAGGATTATCTAACGTTTATACCGTGAGGCATAATTGCCCCTTTTCTCGCCAGAAAAAAAAAACGTGGTTATAACTAGCAACGTCTTGTGATTTATCTTTGATAATATTATGTTATTTTTGTATGGATATGTTTATAATGACGTTGACAATGTTCAACACATATTTATTTAAGGTATTTAAAAATGTTTAACGTGAAGAGATATACAAATGCAAACGTTTAAACGAACACATAAATGAACAATGAAACTCTATAAAGTTTATTTGTTCCTGAGAACATTAGCTATTTGCTCCACGGGCCTCGTCGGCGATACAGCCAAAGAATGTAGCGACGTTACATGTCTCCACATTTGTTTTGCCGCTAGTATCGCCACATATACAGAAATTAACTCGGTCTGTATGTCGGGCAAAGTGTATTTCGAGCGAGCACTACCGTGATTAAGGTGGGTGGCCCCGTAAAAACCGTATTATGCTTCATTTTATGGATTAATACTCTTTACGTTATATAATTATTGGAACTTATTACCTAAATGCTTCGAAGATCTATATTTATATTAGAATCAATGATATAATTAGAGCTAGATCTATATAAATTTTGGAACCATGCCTCAAAACACTCCAACACGACCCACGCCTAAACCCTTTAGTTCTCTCACCGTTTTTAGCATATTTGAATTTTCGTTTTCCTGGATCAATGTTACGCACGTGCGTAGGTGCGTAAGGCTAGCTACGCCCCTGATTGTTCTTTCTAAACATTTACCATGATAAATATCTTAAACAGTCATGTCTATAGTCTCATCTGAACAAAACCATTAATCAATTTTGAGGAAATATAATATATACATTAATTACTAAATGAATAGCATAATCAGACAGCATGTGCAAGCTGACGTTCTGAACTGGTTGCACAGGTAAAATATGTTGCTGGCGGCACAAGAACATACAAAACAAGCAAGAAAGAATTTTGAATTGAATATTACATGTAAGAAATAAAAGAGAGAAAATAGATGTGGAATATTTAACAAATAAATTGCTCTCTTTTAAATTACAGCAGATAGGTATTTGAAAACTTTCTGTAAGAGTTTGTGCCCACACATAAAATATACAAGAATTTAAAAAGAGGCACTACCATAAGCAATCAAATGAAATAAAAGTTTTAACTAGTAACTAAAAAGGTATCAGTGCAAATAATTCATTGATAACAGAGAAGCAAGAAGGCATGGAAATACAATGTATATGTGTACTGATACAATAGTTTTACTATAAATGGTGCTTTTGTATGTTTTGTAAGATCTGGTTTCTATGTACATGCGTGTGTTTGGAGAACAAACTAAACATTACAGTGATATCTTCTGATCTGGTCAATTTGGTGGAGAGGTAGGAAGAGACTGTTGTTGTTGATGATGATGATAATAATTATGATAATGATGATGAAGATGATGATAATAATGATGCTGATGATAATGATGAGGAAACAGTGGAGGAGGCAAGGTGAACATGCATATTCACAGTGTAAGTAAGAATTAAAAACATACAACGATATCCAAATACATCCTAATATGTAATACATGGATGATGGTATTAGGGATGAAGCTATAAGGATAAGCAAAATAAATGATAGATAAAATGAAAGCAATTTTACAAGCATTATTTAGGAAAACAATACAATAATTTGATACTACTTTTATTTTCTACAGTTACCTGAAAAATATCAGTGCATTTTGAAGGAAGGTTGCTATTCCTGGCCACTCAGGTTTGTCTCCTGAAATTTTTAACAAAGGTTTTATTGATATATTGATTACAATCTGTAAACATTTAAATGTCTTTAAACTACAAGTTTCTATAACACATTGTTAAAATCATTTATATAAAATACTATCATAAACAGTTGTACTATATTGTCAATTCTATAAAATCCTAATCTATATAAACCTTAAACAGTACGGCAAAAATCAGGTCATTAAGGTATATGACATTCACATTCAAATTTTTTCAAAACATTCCGATTTTAAAACATCTTTAAAATATAAATCTTGGATTCTACAACATGTAAATAGATATAAAAAATTTTAGCCATTTACATTGTTTTAGAAGCGATATACTTGTATGACCTTGACATTCAAATGATATGTAATAAGTATGATATGTAAATACAACATATCTCACCTGGAACAACATAGACACCAAACAGAACCCATGAAGCTGCAATAAGGGCTCCAAATCCCAGAAGGAAACCCAAAAATAACCACACTCTTGCTCCTGTAATAATATAAACATTCAATCAACAATGATTTTTAAAGATTTCATTACAATATTTATCTTTTTTATTTAACTTTTGGACTTGTGTATGTGTATTGTCAAGTGTGGCAACAATATCACTGCTATAATTAAACGTAATATAATTTCACTGACAAAATATTTATATCTCAATATTTTTCTCCAAAAAGAAAAATGTTTATAAAGACTTCACTACTGATAAAAAGCAGCATAAAATCGACATGACTTCGGCTTCTACTCTAGCACAACAAACATAAGATAAGAACATATCCTGACTGAGATTGGCTCACTACAAAGTACAATATATGTCAAAAGATGGCATATGAAAAACCTTTAAAAGGAAAATAAGTCTTAAATAATATTTCTTAACATTTTATTTTTTGAACACAAATCATCTTTGTGGACTAAAAATTAAGTATTACATTACAAGACTTTGGTAAATAGTTTCAAACAAGATTTTCAAAAATACAGTGAAACTTAAACTTAACCTTAACCTAATGAAATTCTAAACTGGACTTGTCCAGCTCCCAATTTTGGAAATGTCCATTATCTATTTTGGGAAAATCAAGATGAAGTCATCCAACTGTATAGTCATCCAACTGTATAGATCCTGGTCAGACTGCATGCATAAACAGGATGGCCTGGTTCTATACTGAGTGCAAAGACTAAACTCTTCTCACTCTAGCAGCATTTTCAAGGGTTATTAAACATTTATTAATATTTTTAATAAAGAATTAGTATTTCTGAGTTTGTTTTGGTAATGGTCAAAGGGAGGTAAGAAAGTATTATATTCCATTACTTTTTGTCATCAATTGGCTACTTAGTTATCAGGAAAAATTGCATTTGATAGGTACAAATATTAGCATAAACAATTGTCTTCTATGCAAAGATTATTTTTTCTGATATACTGTGTATATATTTTGTTGATTGATATTGTTAAAGTATAGTATATAGTATAGTTATGATAAAATAATTTTGTTCTCTTCTATATTTACCTGTTTGACCTAAACATCCAGTACTGTAGGCATCACCTCTAATCTGACCAGTGGACACTGAATTTATCCTGAAATTATTTAAAGTATACATAATTTATAGAATTAAAACATATAAAATATTCACTTGTGTTTATCTGAATAAAAATACCATCTTAGCATTTTTTTTTTCACAATAAATAAAATTTTATAAAGTGAAAACATAATAAAACATTTGTTTTAACATAACACATGAATATTGTATGTTCATACATTCCATAATAAATGCATCAACAAATGTAAACATCTTTATATATTCTGCTAGAAATACAAAATAATATAGATAATTAGTAAGCTTACAAAAAGAATGCCACAGTCCCTATCGCACCACATGTATGGCATGCATGATTAAAATCATTCTGGTCTGGGTACATCACTGCAGCATCTATAACAATCCACCAACCACTGAAAAACTGAAATACAAGAAAAAGAAACACATCAACTTTGAGAATCTAACATAAGAAATTACTTCTAGTACATGTATAAGCCATTGCTTCTTTATTTCTAACGAACTGTGGGTTTTAAACACTCAACAATGGTAAATGCCATATTTATGCCAACATCCAGACATACTGGTGGAGAAAGACCACAGATATTCCTCCATGCATTATTTCAATCATATTGTAGATGATGCTGACAACTGAGTAAAACCACCCCACTTTTCATTTTAAATTTCTTACATGATAGTCAATGATGTGATTCAAACTAATGGCAAGTGACATAAAGAAAGAAAAATCTTCTATGCTTAACAAAGTCAATGAATTATGGTAATCTAGTTTTAACTTTTTTATTGCTTCAAATACATGTAAAAGTCAGAGCACAGATTAATTTTCAAAGCTTACCAGTAGTCCTGAAATGACTGAAGCAACAAAGTTCCTCCTTTCTCCAAGTTCTAAACATTCACAGTTTGGTAGATTGCAGTTATCTAAAAATCCAGACATTTTCTTATTCTGAAAATAAAAATACATGCACAATCTTTTTATAAACTTTGACATAAATATAAGAATGTGGTTAAAATAAAATTTTACAATTTTTTTCCTATTGATGATACATAAAGATAATCAACTATAAAACTTTAAAGATGAACAAAACAAAATGATTAGATATATTTACATGTATGTTTATGGTAAAAACAAGAATTAAAGGCTAGTTGATGATGATTTCTACCACAGATGGTAATTGAAGACTTTGAAAATTTCAGTTTCAAACAACATATACATGTACATGTATTAAATATTTCTGTAATATGCTCTTTTGTGAAAAAGGACATGCATCAGCTTCACACTTTGGCTGGTAAAAACTAATTTCAATATCGTTTTCCAAATCTTAAATTATTTCACACCAATCAACTTACCGGTACTTACTAGGTATAGTATTTGGCCCATATCTATGTATAAAATAAGTAAAGTAAACAACTACTTAGTGTATTCACCCTTAGCATAAGTAACAGATTGCATTCTTCTTATCATGGACAAAGAAAGCCTTGGGCATTTGTTAATTTTAAATGTGAAAATTTGTTCAAATACAACTAATATTTGCTTCCAAAATCTGCAGATTGCCAGGGTTATTTCAAATTGAGCACAGTGTTTTTTTTCCCCTACTTTGGGAATGGTGCCGGTAGCAGACAGATTGGGAAAAAATCCATTGGTTTGACTCAAATTGGGAATTTTATATTAGATGCAAAATATTTATTGGGAATTTCTTTTATTCAGGGAGACATGAAAATTTTGCACAATTTACACTTTAAAACCATGTATTAAAACTTTAATGATTATTTTTGCTGGTTGAGGTTGAAAGAAAAATGATAATCATAACAATTGTACAATAAATAATGTTTAGGTGTGAAACATTAAAAGTACGAAATGAACTGGGTATGAATATCACTCATGTGGTTATACTTGATTTTTATTGCATATCACTTATCAATATGAAACATCCACTACTGTTTTGTTTACCTTTAAATTTGCCAATTTTTGAGGAAATTTTCAATGTCATTTTGGGAATTTATCAGTCATTAATTTGGAAATTTGCTGTCTAGTTTCTAGTATTGGGAACGGTGCCATTTTCCGGTATCAGTTATATAAGGAAAAGAAACACTGTGCTGAGCATAATAGTGTGCTGAAGGTAAAGATTTGGCAACTGAGGTAGCCACTCCAAACACACTATGACATGCTTCTTTTCCACTTAATGACTTAGTTTACAATACTTTACAAAATTAATCATAGTAAGAATTCAAATAAAGTTGGAGTTGGCATTGTGACACAGAATATTATCACCCTGATACTGCAGGGTTTGTACAGACTTCCAATGCCAAAATTCAAGGACTTTTTAAGCACTATTTAAGCACGTTTTCCCATTTTTCAAGCACATTTGTTGCACATATACCGACACAATCTTCAACCTATGATGGATAGTTTGCTCACCATTTTTTGTTGAATATGCATTTTCTGACATAATAGAAGAACAACAAAGGGTGCATCAAATACAGATTAGTTCAAAACAACTGCAATTTGTCCACCTTGAGTAAACATTTCATTGGTTTTGATACTAAATTGGATCTTTTTTTTTATTTTGTTAACCGTTGTTTTTTTTTTATCAAAACTATGTCATTCTGTGATTTAAACATTTTCAAGCACATTTTTAGCAAATTTAAGCACTTTTTAAGAGAGTAATCAAATTCAAGGACTTTTAAGCACTTTTTTACATTTTTAAGCCAATAAGGACTTTTTAAGAAAGAGACTCAAATTTAAGCACTTTTTAAGACTGTACGATTTTAATAGTCAAATAAATGCACTTGTTTGTTTTGTTGGGACTTAAGTCATACCATTGTGACCAACACTTCAAAGGTTATGGTGACTTTCAAGCATAACTGGTAGAGGAAGACCTCAGGTGCCCCTTTATATTATTTCTGACATGAGCTATTAATGTTCCATAAGCTAGCTGGATAGCTTCCTCAAATAAAATAATCTTAAATCTCCAGTGTGATTTGAACCCATTGCATTGAACTGAAGGGCAAGTGGTAAATAAATCACGTTGCATATCCATATTGGTACCCTCTGCGAAATCTGCTCAAACGGTACCCTCTTTGAACATGCACAGGTCATTCTGTGCTAAAAAGAAACCAGCAATGGATAACAATCCAGTAAAATTTCATTGTAATAAGGAAAGGAGGTATGACACATAGAAAAGATGTATACCACGGAACACTAGAATGTTTTATTTATGTGCTGATTTGTCATGTGCCCGATTTTCATGTCCTGCAACTTCACAATAAGCTACAAAAAATCGACATGTTATGCCTCGCCCATCACCTTGACATATTTTTCGGGCTGAAATGAACATGTGGCTTGATTATATATGCATCATACATATTTAATATGTTCATATACATATCATCTTCGGACAAATGGCAGTATATTGTCAAAAATTAATGTTAAATTCATAAAAACACCCTACTTTGGTTTTGCAGCGGCACAGGCTACCCTATCTTCATTTGAATTTTTATATCACAGGTACCCTCTTATTTTTGAACACATAGGTACCCTCAAAGCACGACATATGCTTTTATTTGCGTTAATCGTTAAGTATGAATGTAATATTTCTTACTTTTATGTAAATGCAATTTAAGATATAAATAGAATCTCCAACAGTGATTTTATTGCTAAATAAAATCACTGTTTGGAGTTCAGACGCCAGGAATTATATCACGTAGTCGGAGTGATTTAATGCTGCATATCCAAGTTTACAAACTGTGATTTTTGAAGTGATAAAATCACTACATGCGATATATTATTTTATTCTAATAATAGGCTGATATCAAGCTATATTATGCCAAATTTGTTCAGCGGGTGACATTTTTAATTATTTGTGATGGGAACAAGATTTACACACACTTTTAGTCCCCTGTGTATGACATACACCAATAAATGTGCTAACAGTTTAATCCAACGCACTTCTCCTTCATCAACCTCAAGCTAGATTATTGCTAGATTTTTGTTTCAACAGTCAGTCAAATGTTTTCTGTTTAGTGTTGTAGTGATTATAGGTGTATGCCATTTCCAAAAGCCTTTGTGTTGGGTTAACCCTTTTGCGACATGGTCAAGTGTCCCCCTTTTAATTGAGAGATTAACAATTTATAATGGCAACAAGGTAAAAAAAAATAACAATAATGCTGATAATGTTTCATTTGACTAGCAATCAATACACCCATCAATGACAGTCTCTATATGAACTACATAAATATTAAACCAAGTTATATAGAGTGAAAAATACGAGTTGTTTCCCTTATCTTCTAGTAAAATCCATATCTCTTATGCTAAAACAATGCAAATTTGGCAAATTTAGCCGCAAATTGCTAGTTTGGGGTGAATTAATTTACGATTTTAAAATAACACCAATGAAAAGCTTGTGATCTTAGCTTCGTCTCATATATTTCAACATATTGTTTCCACTAAAGGTATTAACATTTATGGATAAACCTACCACAAGTCAGACCATTTTACAAACATTTTATACAGTGAGATACGCAACCGGTCATCTTTACTCGCATTTCTACTGATAAGAAAAGCCTGTCGTCTGCTGCTAGTTAAGAAACTGTCAATCGGTGTTTTACACACATCAGTCATGTGACTGTCCCCAACAGGAAACATTATAGGTAAACAAGTATGGTATTTCCCTCATGTATAGTAATGAGGATTCTGCCTTTGTATTTAAAGCTGTGTGCACTCAGACTCAGTGTTGAAGTTTGCCTAAAGTTCAAAAATAAAGTGGGGAGAAGTGTAGTGAATACAGGTCTAGGACATTTCCAACAGCCTTGCTGTTGGGTTAACCTTTTAGCGACGTGGTTGAGTGTCCGCGTGGTAATCGATAGGTCCTGATTTCAAAACCCGGTCACCACCTGAGGATTTTTCAGGTTAACATTGTTTCTCAAGTTAGAATATTTTCGTGAAATGCAAAAAAGATTGAAAGAACATAATTTGTGAGTTGAAAAGTTTTCATCATGATATCTCTTACCTAAAGTAAAACTGTCTTGCAATAATCAGCCGTCTGAGGTTAGTTTATTTTGCAAAATATTCCGATGATTTTGACTCACCGAAAACTGTCAAACTCAACTTCCTGTTTAGTGGTTCGTATATTCACCGTACCACACCGTACTAAATACTTTGTACGGAAAAATGTTTCCTGAGTGCTGTATCTTTTCATTAAACAATTACTTACATCAGGGTCTTTCTATTTGAAAGGCCTTGCTAACATGAAATGATTTAATAAAAATAATAAATATAAAACGCGGGACTAATCACAGGGGGCCCACACAGTGTGTGGATGGTATATACTGCTTGATAGTGACCTTAAAATGAGAATTTAATCATAACCTTATAATATGTATATAAATATAGTCTATATTTATATACATATTATAAGGTTATGACTAAAATCTCATTTTAAGGTCACTATCAAGCAGTATATACCATCCAAACACTGTGTGGGCCCCCTGTGGGACTAATCTTCGGGGAAAAACTGAAAACGGGCACGTGCGTTTCGTGCAATTTGATTGCGTCTAAAAAGTAGTCTACACCGTCTTATGAGTGAAACGTCTGCTACCCGTGCAAGTGATCCATATGGTTCCATGTACGTCAATGCCCCAGAGCGGGTTATGTACAGTATTGGAAGAAGAAGGTTCGTTTAAACGTAAAAAGAAATGATGTGCCAAACAAACAAAACTCTCAAAAAAGCTCAATGTTAGTGTAACAATTAGGAAACGTTATTGTTCATATGCAAAGCAAAGGGGACTCATCGAGCGGATTAAATTCTGACTAGATTAGAGTGACAAGCCGTCAGGTTAGCTCAATTGTTAGAGCGTTAGACTCTGAATTGAGGTTCGATTCCCAATCGGCGCAGGTCACTTTCTTTATGATTGATCATGAAATCTTTTCTAAGGTCATTCACACTGTACCTCTGCATGTACAGTAATTAGTTCTTTGTGAAAGTGAAGGCAAACGGCTTGATAGCTTAACTATGAACAATGCGGAGGCTGTTCTTTGTTTAATTCAAGAGAGTAAATTACCAACACCACCAGCAACGTGAAAATCAATCATTAGTTCAATATCGTATCGCTTCAACACACTTACGTCAACGCAGACGTACAGCAATGGAGGTAAGAAGGGAGAAGACTGGCAAGTACATATGAAACATCTCTAGTAGTTCGCGCGAATCTGAATAGAATGAAACTTTACACCCCGAAGCTGCGCACATCGTTCAGCAGAACTAGGGAATGACTCTCGTGCACGACGGTCCAACGTGTCACACTACAACACGTACACTCCTGCAACAAAATGTCAATGCTCTTCATTGCTTTCAAATTTGGTTCGCGTGTCTTAAGTAACGAAAATGCAGACCATAGACTAGTAGAATTGAAATTATAAAAACCGTATTGTGTTGACTGAAATCCTGACAAATTTCAATTTTATCTATTCGAATTTAATTTACGTCAATTGATTAGCAAGTACCCTGTCATCAGATCATACACAGAAGATATGCGGTATTGATCATTCAAGGCTGTGTGTTAATAAGCTCCCAGATAGCATTCTATATGGGACCCATGTGGGGCCCATATGGGCACCTATATGGGTCCCATTTGGGCTGCCCATATGGGCCCCATATAGGAAGTGCAACCGGGTTCCAAATGGGTCCCATCTGGGCAGCCCTTATACTCAATATGGGATTCACATGGGCCCCATCTGGGCAGCCCATGTACACAATATGGGCCCCACATGGGCCCCATATGGGCAGCCCTTGTACTAAATATGGGTTTCAAATGGGCAGCCCAGATACTTCCATTATAGGTAGATTTTGAATTCCGGGGTAGATCTATTTTCAAATACTTCAATTATAAGTTTGCTGAACGTTTAGATAGCAACCCCTTGCTACAGAGCAGGATTCTTGTACTTGCGTTAAATATTCAAGTGATGTTTTAACTCATTCTGTTTCCTGGAACAGACAGATTATGGCACAAAGCCTTTATGATCATGCAAGAAAACAATACACAATGTATATGCTTTAACAATGTAACTTTATTTAGTAATCTCACTTATGGTAAGTGTATATCATATATATACAGATTCTCAATACATTCTGTGGACGCCTGATGTCAACAAAGAAACCTTTACTTATGTAAATAAACTTAGAAAAGTGTACAATATAAAAATCCGAGTAAACTGTACATATTTGTAAATCCACAGAATTTCATTTTGACTACATAGTTTTTAATTCAAAAATACAGAAATATTAATTATTATTCAAAAAGTCCTATGTAGTAAATATTACTTTGGTACACTAAATAAGCAACATGTAATGGAAAACTGTTTATAATGTACGAACAAAATAATTAAAAATGCAGTTTTATAACATTAGATACCTTACAGATCACTATAAGGAAAAATGAAACTTATGCTAGACACTGGTAAAACTTTACAGAAGGTCTTTGGAACTCCAAGAAATATATGTGTATAATGTTTAAATTTCAGTGAATCAACAGTATGGCCCCAAATGTCTTTTTAACTTTCTACATAATTCATAGAAAAAGTATTATACATTTACTGTAATTCATTACAAATTTCTATCTACCAATTACTTTCATTTTCAAATGATATAGATCTACATCAATTAATATAAAAAGTTGTTCATTACAACCATATATTACACTTTGGTATGATAGTGCTGAAGAAAAAAATGTTATGCAGCTCGTGAAAAGTAACAAATATAATAAAACAAAACCTTGGCACAGTTGTAATACTGTTCATAGATTTGTAAACAAAATATTATGCAGCTGATGAAAAAAAATTAATATAATTAACAAAACCATGGCACGGTTGTAATACTGTTCATAGATGTGTAAACAAAATATTATGCAGCTGATGAAAAAAAATTAATATAATTAACAAAACCTTGGCACGGTTGTAATACTGTTTATAGACGTGTGGACAAAATATGCAGCTATTGAAAAGTAACAAATATAATACACAAAAGGTTGGCACTGTTGTAATTGTCAACAAAATATGCAGCTAATGAAAAGTAACAAAAAGTAATACAAAAAAGGTTGGCACGGTTGTAATACTGTTTATATAGACGTGTTAACAAAATATGCAGCTAAAGTAACAAATATGATACACAAAAGGTTGGCACGGTTGTAATTCTGTTAATAGACGTGTAAACAAAATATGCAGCTAATGAATAGTAACAAATATAATACACAAAATCTTGGCACATTGAAATACTGTTTATAGACATGGTAACAAAATATGCAGCTGATGAAAAGTAAAAAATAGTTTGTACAAGTTTGTAAAAATCAATAATAATTAAAATGTGATATTACACAAAGATCAAATTTGTTGTGAAGAAATTCATTAAAAAAAATTGTCAGTAAAAATAGTTGGTTTCAGTAATTTCTCCAATATTATCAAAGTTTCAACAATAACAACAATAAAGATTACAAGAATCATCATTGTAAAGTATTTCAACTTTATTTTAAAGGTTAATACCATATCAATACATGTGTTCCCTGTTAGTGTCAAGTTTTGACAAGATGTTATAATTGTATTGATCAGTATCAAAAACATTCCCCAAGCATTTAATGTCTTGATTTAAATAGTAACAATGTTTTTTGTTTGTTTCATTTTACGCCTTTTACGTCATATAGGCGGGTAGTTTCCTAACCATCGTTTCTGGAGAGTTACACCAGTACTAGACTTCCTTCCTCCGTGCAGTAACAATGTTTAATGGAAAAAAAAACAACAGCATATAGACAACAGAAAAACAGCATATATTAAATGTCAACAACAAACATAACATAGCAGCAGAATATACTGACTAGAAGGCAAAATTTGACTAGACAAGAATTTTGCATTTACAAGAAAGACATGCTATGCTGATGACCTCAAACATTTAAATTAGCAACAAAAAGTATAACAAGATAAACAAATGAGCCGCTTAATGTAGTTCTGACCCTTATCACATTTTAAAAATACCTAGATACATATTGACTTTCAATCAGTGGAATAACTTATATGCAGATGAAGTAAAGGTTTGAAAATGTAAAATAAAAGTCATTTATTTTATGCTTTTGAGTGTATTACTGATGTATCCGTGAAAAATATATTTGATAATTTCACAGTGAAATGATTAAAATTTCAAACTTTTCTATGATAGGAGAGTACTTTTTAAAGATTTTATCATCATTCAAATTTTTTGAATTCAATAAATAATATCATGGCTATTCAAAGTTGATTGTCAAACTTATTTTTCAGCCCAAGACTTCCTGTATTTATGAGAAATTGGACTTAAATTCAACTAAAATTGATGTTAACAGTGGGGAAAACAGATTTAATATTAACGTTGAGGAAATTTCATTAGCATAAAATAAAAAGACACTTTATTGTTTGTTGTGTAAGATGTAATTTTATATCATTGAAGGAACTTTAAAAAACAGTGTTCTCACGAGCGCATAGCCACTCATGAGAATACTGTTTTTAAAGCTCTCTTGATGATATAAAATTTCATCTTACACAGAAACAAACAAATATCCTCTATAAATTTGCATTTTTAAATTAAAAACATGTCTAGTCACTTCCTTCATTTTCTTCAGGTAAGGTCTCTGACACTTTGTTTCTTGCTTTCCTTCCCCCATCGCGGTCCCGCGCCCCAGCCAGCCACTTTGAAACCTCTATTTCAACATCCTTCCTCGTTGCAGCCTTTGTCGGCAAGTTCCTTTGGACACATTCTACAAAACAAGCATTCTTATCCTTAAAGAATGAAATGAAGTGAAATGAAGGTATTGAAACCATTCAAAGGTCATAAGCCACCTTGTAGCATTTTGAGCAGTATAAATTGGAATATAAACTAATTCTGGTATGTTTTACCAAATATAGATGTTTGTTTCCTGGTTTTCATAGCTTTTAACAATATTTCTGTGATATCGCTGCAGTCAGTTGTAAGCTGAGATCATCTTATCGGTGTATCAGTAAAGAATGTTAAGGTAAGCAAATAACTTGCTTTACAGGAAGGTGATTTCTGTTTATATTATGCATCACAACACAATGCATGGGATCAAAACCACACAGCATGTAAAATATTCTCTCTTATTAATTCCATAAAAGCTAGTCAAGCATT